AGGGGTTGGTCTGAATGGTGGGGAAAGTGCAGACATAGGGGGGTTCTCCATCGTATTCCTGATCCAGGGGAGGAATGACTTAGTGAAAGTGAAGACGCCGGGCACTTTTCCGCTGGAGCAGCCCCTGCCCCAGCTGTTGAGACCGATCAGCCAGAAGCGCTCAGAATGGGATGTCCTGCACATGAGGGGGCCACCACCATCACCCTGCAGAAAGAGGAAGAAGGAGCCATGACCACGCAGTGCAGGGTCTCTTCATCCATGTCCATACAATGGCACAAGGCTCAAGTCCCACTCACTGAATTCATTCATTCTTGGCATTTGAAATATTTCCCTTGATAATGTATCTGAAGGAGGACATCTAGATCTAAGCCATTTTTCCCAACCTGGGAATTGGCAGCTGTGCTGGACAGGTGGATGAGAATGAGAGGAATAAATGATCCAATGCATTGAAATGCACCTGAACTGGAAAGATTGCTACAAGTAAGCATAAATATCTTGGACCTAAAACTAGGAAGTCTCTTTATGCGCAAGCTGTTGAATATTAAACCACCAACAGGGCTCCTGAAGAAGAGTTCTGGTTGCTCTCTCAGCAATCCAACAGAGAGAGCAAAAAGGAGTTTACCAAGGGGGCTGAGCAGGCTGAGCAGGCGATCAGAGAAGCTGTGTGTACTACAGCACTGTGTGGGAGAAAAGTCTAGTCTTGTGAGTAGTTAGTTGCCTACTGTGGAGACTGAACGGTTCCTTCCTGCTGAGAAAGTAGAGAATGCACAAGGAATATAAGGTAGCCAGCTCCCAGGGATCTTGTGAGCTGTGCAAAGAATAAAGACAGCAGATAGGAAACCACAACCAAAGAAGGCGGGCCAGTTGACCAACAAGGATTATAAACAGGTAGAATTGTAAAGAGGATGTCAGGAAAATGAAAGATCTGAGATGAGGCTGAAAAAGGAACAACAAAAAGAGCTTCTTTAAAACAGTTCCTTTCAGTTGCTGTTCCTGTGTGGATACTTGATGCATGACATCAAGGAGATGGTCAGCTCAACAGACTAAGAAACCTATGCCACGTAGGTCAGGACTACTTTCACTGTAACAGCTCTAGTAACAGAATCTTGCAAGTCTGAATGTGCTTCCCCCTCCCTGACTTTATCTTTGTGTGAATGAGGGAGGGGCTTGTCTGGGACATTTTCTTACTCTTTCTTGGCCTGGGTTCAAGCCCCTCTTATCTGACCATTGCCTTGATAGCCACTCTTCCTCCTATCCTTCAAGGCCATTCCCTATGTTCTCTGCAGATATCAAAAAAGCCGGCTGACCAAAACTTAGGACCCCTTAGGACAGTGAATCTCTGACTAACTCTGTAACTTTCCAGCTGAAGCTTCTTACAGCCATCTTTAAAAATCCCTCCAATCTTCCATCAGTCCTTATTAAGCCCCTCAACCCCTTCCAGCCTGTATCTTCTTCTCCACCTCCTGTCATGTCAGGATGAGCCTGATTCTGAAGTAGCTTGCATCCTCAATTCCTAACCATATTGATGAAAATGCCAGTATCATAAGTATGGCCTGGGTCCATGCCTCCAAGTTAGCACACACTTCCACCTACAATACCCCCAAACCAAAACCATTACCAAGAGGGGAAGGGGGCTTGCTGG